GGAGCCGCCAACGTTGACGCGGTAGTATGTGAGAGGAATTTCGCCAGACTCGCCAACAGCCTTGAGGTGGTGTCAGAACTGGGGCGGCAGATTGGAAATCAGGGTAAAGACTGACCTTCAGGGCGGCAAAGTGAATGACATTGTCAATATCTGGGTTCTCCTCAAAGACCTTGTCGAGGGCGGCCTCATCAGTCACGTCGCACTGGTAAAAGGTCGGTCGCTTGCCGCAGATGAGCTCGATGCGGTTGATGACTTCGGCTGACGAGTTGTAGAGGTTGTCGACAATGACGACCTTGTAGTCTGCCTCGAGGAGGGCGAGGGCTGTGAAAGAGCCAATGTAGCCGGTACCACTGTGCTGTGGTTAGAACCAAGGTTCCATGGGCATGGCAGGATGGTAGATGGCGGGGTGGAGGGGTAGCTTACCCTGTGACAAGAACAGAACCTACAACCATGTTTGCGGCTTCGAGTGTGCAGAGTGGAGAGATTGAACGAGAGGAGGAGCAGCTCTTATACAATCTGGTGCTGGTATCTGAATGGGAAGTTGCAGAGGTTTGGCAAAGTTAGCAACACGAGAGACTGGGTTCACGGGATGCGCCACTAGTGACGCCGAAGCAGTCATGGGCGGATAGATTTCCGGATACGGCATGGATGGGCATGGTTGGAACTGAACAAGTACCTGGCCTGGTAACATGATGCTTTGTTGGTCGTTGCCGTCATGGCATCATGGAGGAGATGAGGAGTGGCGAGGGCTAATTTGCATGGCACAGCGTTGGACCAGCTACTTGCACAGTGTGGATGAGTGGTGCGCGTCGAGTCAATGCAATGCATGAGCATCAGACGGTGCAACGATGTGAACTTGTGTACGTGAGTACATGTACCACACCCAAAAAGCAGCGACGGAAGCATTGGTACTGTCAAAGAAAAAAGGACTGCTTGATGCAAGGCAGGTGATTTGGTTTTTCTATAGTTTGTCTCAATATTTAGTTTTGGTTTTTTCTTCTTCGACGGGGAGATGTTTGGGGAACAAGTGCTCGCCCACAGCTCCAAACTGTAGCGAGTTGCATCAAGCTGGCTTTATGTATGAGGCAGGCTGCAGATGCAAGCACCACTGGGAGTAGACATGTCAGTCTCGTGGAGGAGCGGCCGTGTGCCTACATACATGAGTACATGGTGTACCACACACACAGCACCCGTATCAGCATGCGACACAATCGTGGGACTACCATGTATGGAGATGCAGGTACATGCGAGACGGGCAGAATCAGCCTTGTGGCCCTTTGGGCATGGTGCTCCGCTGCCCCAGCCTGGGGCGGGAGGTTCATGCATCATCCATGTCTGTCTGTCTGGCGGCGGAGACGCTACGTAGTCTACTACTAGCTTTGGTGTGGGTGTGGGTGTGGGTGTAGGTGTAGGTGTAGGTGTGAGTACTTGGTAGCATACGCTGCTGGCGTGTGTTAGCAGGCGAGCGAGAGACAGACAGCTGGTGCCAGTGTCATTCCAGGCTTGGTCGAGTCGTCAAAGCACTGCCATGTCACTCACCGCCGGATTCAGAGGACGCGCTCGCTTAGTCGCCCGCTTCCGGCTGTCTGCGCGCTGGCCGAACCCTTGCACCCTCGCAGCGCGACAATGAGCCTTCACCACCCCCATTGTCGCCATTGATCAATACAATCAGAACTACTGCCCTCGACTCGACGAACATGATCGCGTCCTGCGCACTCGCCCTGCCCCTCTCCCAAACCCCTCTCGCCCACGCGTAGCAGCGCAGTAAGCGCCCCCAGCCCCGACGCGTGAAACTGCGTACACGTGTATAGGGACCCTGCTGCAGGAACCCGCCATCAACCCCATCGCCCTCTGAGCTGTCAAAAGATCAAATTCTGCACTGCCAAAACGCGTCTGTTGTCGTAAACCTCGGTCTCTTGACCACCTGGTCCTCGAGTCCACCTGTAAGTTCCCGCCATCTCCTACCCTGGTTACCCTCGTGTTCCTAGCACCCCAGCCTCATCGCCCAGCTCGACACGCACCACTCGACAACCTCCTCACCGTCACGCCCGTCTTCACGGTGAAAATTTTCATCTTCTGCTGTCGTCGCATGGCTTCGTCGTCTTTGCTATTGTTGCCGGCTCGCCATTCTCGCCATTGTCGGCTTATGCCACTGCTGGCTGCCATTGTTCTTGTCATGTTCTAAATGGCCCTCGCAGACTACTTCCTTACTTCGTTTGAACAAACCCAAACTCACCCAACACTAGTTCCCCACCTCAGCAACATCAACCGTGCCATTCCTCCTGGACCCCGACCCCGTTGGACTGTTGAATGCTCACGACAGATTCCCCGCCGAAATGTCTCAACGTGCTAATGGGGATGCCCCCACACCCTACCGTCGCTCAGCCCGTGTCAGCACCAGGGCAAGCTCAGTCGCTGAAGAATCTGCCGTCACTACTGCTACCGCAGCCGCTTCAACAAGACGCAACAGAACTACTTTAACCCAGGTCAAAGCCCGCCGGTCCAATGCTTACGGCGCAAGCGGCCGCGTCGGGAATCCTGATAAACTTACAACTGCCCCAAATACCGGTTTCTCCCAGGCCTTCAAGACCCAGCTCGACAGATCCGGTGTTCCATCATCAGAGCAAGAGGGAGATGATCTTGACAGCATCGATGAGCTGGGTAGTGAGTCGCAGTCGCACTTCTCACCTCCACTTCCACGTAACAACGCCCTGAATTCCAAAGCCGCTCCCGGTTACTCCTTCATGGACAGCGATGATCTAGGTCCCAGCGAGGATGATGTCGCAGCATCTGTCGGCAACACCTCAAAGTCATTTGGTCTTGCTCATGAAGCCGGCATGCTAACATCCCGAGATCCGTTTGCGGCTTACCCGATACGCGATGAGCCCAGAAGCTCGCCATTCGTCAAGCCTGTCTTGACAAGCCGCAAGCCCACCACCCGTTCCGTAAATGGAACAAGATCAAACGGACCAACCCCCGTTCAGGCTCCCCAGGCGAGTTCGGCTCAAGAAAAGACGCCGACACCAACAAAAGATGTCCTCAAGGCACCTATTCAAAGCCAGGCCCAAGCTAGAGTGAATGCGGAGCAAACAACTGCTCGTGCCAACCCAATCCCGGCTGAACAATCAGTCAATAACTTAGTCGCAGAAGAGCAGGCCAGATTGCAGCGTGAGGGTCCTCCACTACCTCAGTCACAGCGCCAGGCAGATCGACGCCGTCCCCATCGAAAGGACCCTGGCGAAGTCAATGCATGGATTGGGCATGTTGAATCGTTCGAAGAGCAGGACGAGCCAATATGGCGTTGGAAAAAATCTCTCACGTGGATGTTCTGGATCCTCTCGGGCTGTCTGTTCGTCGGTTGGGTCGCTTCCACCATGATGACTTCCAATTCTACTGACTCGGCGTTGGGGACTCCTAGTTTACTCAAAGCTGTGGGCTCCCGCGTCGTCTACACATACGAAAGGGTTACCGACGCTATCATGCCGGAAGCGTACAAGAGAAACGGGGACGACACCCTTGTGTGGGGCCGCATTGGTAATATGGAGAAGCAAAATGAGAAGCGCTTTCAAAGCATGCGTGATTCAATCGATGAGCTGAAGAAGGAAATCCCTGGAGTCATGATTGTTCGCCGGCACCAAGATGGGACCACCGAGATCACCGACGAATTCTGGCGAGCCTTAACAGCCAAGGCACACTCTGAACCCGAATGGACGAAGTTTCTTGAAGAAACGAAAGCCAAGCTCGCCATACTCTTTGACAACACAGCCCATAAAGAGCGCAGTCCCACTGAGAGTTGGCCTCAGGCTGCATCACGTGAAGAATTCATCAAGCTGGTGGAGCAGCGGTATGAGAGCCTTACCACTCAGGTAAACAAGAGAATCGAGGAGGCCATCCGAACCCAAAGCACCCAGCTCAAGACGATGATGCAAACAGAAGCCAAGAAAACTATGCTGGACCAGATCCGCCTCAATGCCCTTGCACAGGCCAATCTTGTCGCCAATTACGAACTATATCTTACAAAACCTAATTACTTTTCGCCAGGTCTGGGTGCTATGATTGACCCGGACCTGTCTTCTGTCACTTTTGATAAGAAATCCGGTCGCATTGCCGGTCTCGCACGCCGCCTCTCGTGGATACCCGATCGCAACCCTCCAATTGCCGCACTCACCAAGTGGGAGGAACCTGGGGATTGCTGGTGTTCAGCAAGTTCGGACCCTGCATCACCTGGTCAGGCGCAGCTCGCCGTTCGAGTTCCCCGTCTCGTCATTCCCAAACAAGTCACCATTGAGCACGTGCCCATGAGTATGATGCCTGCCCGCAAAATCAACAACGCGCCTCGAGACATGGAGCTCTGGGTTCAGACGAACGGACCAATCAAGCCATATTACAGTCATCGCGAAGTAAGCTGCCGAAGCGCGCCGCCGGAAAGCGCAGGGGGCAAGTGGAAGTGCTTGGGTTCGTTCAAGTACAACATTCACGCTTCCAACCATTTGCAGACGTTTGATCTGTCGGGCGAGCCGTCGGAGCCCGTGTCCCGTGTTATACTGCGTGTGACCAGCAACTGGGGTGCTAGCCATACCTGCCTGTACCAGGTGAGACTACACGGAACGGATGCCGAAAACGATTTCGAGTACCCGGTCAACCTAATGGACTAAAGCTCCGCATGCGTATGCGTCTTTCTTGTTTTAATTTTATTTTTGTTATTTCTGTGTTCTAAATTGGAAGAAGGAGGAGGACAACCCAAAATGGAAAGCAGCGGAGCACCGTGACTGTTTTAGTGTTGATTGGCGGGCATTTTATGATTTGTTTTTTTTCACGGTTTTCATCCCCTTGTATACCCCAGGATAGTTCTAGAGCATAACGAATTTACGCTTCACTTGATGACAAGTAGGTAATAGAATGGACAATATGGCTTCTCCCATGATGTGAATGTTTCTTGTTTTTTTGTCATTCTTTTCATGTGTCACGATACGTATATGGACACTACAGGGTAAGGGAATCTATCGTACTACGCCACCCTTGAGAGTTGGAATGCTACACAGACCATCCTTGGTCCTCAACTTGGCGACACCCGTCTTCTTATCCGCACCCTCGCCGCTCAACTGTGGCACGACACCGACATCAAAGCCCACTTCCAGAGAATCGGTGGTAGTAAAGCCAGGCTGAATGGTTTCCCAGACCTTCTTCTTGGGGTTGAGCACCGGCTCCGGCTCGCCCTCCCAGCCCTCAAAGTAGACTCGGTCACCAGCCTTGCTTTCAGCTGGGGGGTTCACCAACTCGACAGGGCCCTTGTGGCTATCCTCACCCTCTGCAACTCTCGGTGATGCGGCAAGGACCATGGCACACGACTTGACGCCGCGCATTGTGACTGGCTTGAGGTTGCACACGGCGACAATCTTGCGGTTCTGCATCTCCTCAAGGGGAATCAGGCCATTGAGACCAGAGCATACGGTGCGAACAATCTGGCCTTCATACTCGGATGTGTTGTCTGTGCCGGGAGCGTCGCCGCATGCAATGGTGGAAACGTACAATGAGTCGGCATTGGGATGGGTCTCGGCCTTGAGAATGTGGCCTACACGGAGGTCGATGAGGGCGGGAGAGAGAGGCTTCTCGACGGGCGCACTATGGGTTGTTAGTCAACATTCAAAGGCAAATGAAAGGATTCAACGGAAGCGGACGTACGCCTTCTGAGGCTTGGGCTGCTTCTCCTTCTTTTCCTTCTTCTTCTTCTCGGTTGGTGCACCCTCAGGAATGCCGCTCGTCGGGTTACCAGCAACTGCTGATGCGACGGCAGATCCAGTTGCGTCTGCCTTTGCCTTTGCCTTGTCTGCCTTGCTCTTGCCTCCCTGTGCGTTCTGACCCTGGGCTCCAGTCAAGGTGGTAGCCGTGGCGCCTGAGGCTGCCGCACCTGCCGCCGCAGCCTCCTTCTCCTTCTTCTTGCGCTCCTTCTCAGCCTTGGCATCTACCGGCTTAATCTTGAAGACGACATTGTCCGGGTCAATGTTGACCTTGTCATCCAGCTTGAGGCTAAAGACTGGCGAGTTCTGAACAAAGTCGATGTGACGGACAATATGGTGGTATCCCTGCTCTCCTGTCCTCTCTTCTGCACTCCACTTTGAGACGACGGGTGCGAGCTTCTGGTAGATGGCAATGTCGGCGACAGAGGGCTTTGCGCCAAGGAGGGTGGTCCGGCTGGAGAGGTGTGTGTTCAGTGACGACAGGCGCTCCGAGGCCTTTGCGGCATCCTCAGCGGGAGAGGCCACGTGAGAGGCAGTGATGAGCCACTGGCTGAGCTCAGTCTTTTCGGCGTCTGTGTAGGTGACGGTGGGGAAGAGGGCCTGGGAAGCCTTGACAGCGTCGGTCTCGTCGGCGGCGTTGTTGGGCGCGTGCTTCTTGAGGAAGGCGACGACAGTCTCGTCGAGGGTGGCCATGGTGTGCAGTTGAGGAAGTGTTGTGTGGAAAAAGTTCAAGTTGCGAGCAAGTGGCTGTAGTGGGGTAAAGAAGTCGGCCGCAAAGCTAGTAGAGGGGGCCGTTGCAGGCAAGGAGCGGGGAATTGCCAGGCGTGTCGACAAGAAGAGGCGCTGACTGAGTCGTGCTTGTGTTGGCTGAGTTGATCTGGCGTGAAAATTGCGAAGAGAGGGCGCAATTGAAGCTGGGGCGCGAAGAGGCATCATTCACGTGAGTCAAATTCATAGTCTGCCGTCACCGCGGGGCGCTGAAGCTCCATCTCGTTCGCCCGGGCCCTTGGATGGCCACCGCCGCCGCATTGCGGCATAGCCATCTCAATATTTTTCTTTTCTTTTTCTTTTGCCTATCACCGCAGAATAGTTAAGCTTGCTCGAGCAGGCTGTCTCTGCTTGCGGGAATGTCGTCATATGCCGGCGCCTTTTGTTCTTGCTCCTCCTCTTCTTCTTTTGCGCCCTGGCGACTACATCCGGGATGACCCCGCCCTCTAGCACTACGGTGGACATAGTATGGCATGGCATGGGCCGTGGCAAAAAGGCTTGTTGTAGCCTACAACTCATTCTTGACTCCAGGCACACGCCTGCCGTATACATAGACCGTGGGTGACGCAACCGTAGACGCTGTGTGCTGCTTGTCCCTCATCAACCCCACGTCTGGGATCCTCTACTCACTCCTCCTTCCCCGCAACACCATCCTCAAACCAGCACCAATATGGCTTCTGAAGCTTCCCCTGACGTGCCCAAGGGCCGGAAGAGATTCATTCCTCTTGGTAAGTCATTCCGGCTTGCCACGGCACACGCCTAGTAACATGCGACAGAGAACAACCCGGAGGTCATGACGGCCCTCGTTCACAAGCTCGGTCTGTCGGACAAGCTTGCCTTCCACGACGTCTTCAGTATCGACGACCCCGAACTCCTTGCCTTTGTACCGCGGCCTGCCCATGCCCTCCTCCTTGTGTTTCCCGTGAGCCAGACATACGAAAAGTTCCGCATCCAAGAAGACAAAGACAGGCCAGAATATCAGGGCTATGGCCCGGACGAAGAGGTTATTTGGTACAAGCAAACTATCGGCAACGCCTGTGGCCTGATTGGCCTGCTCCATGCAGTCTCGAATGGCTCGGCACGTACACACATTCGTCAGCAGCCCCCTCGTTACGCGGGAAGGTTTCAAGGTTTGCTAACATAGCCTTTAGAAGCCGATTCCAACCTAGCCAAGCTTGTCCAGAATGCGATACCACTGAAACCCGCCCAACGAGCTGACCTCCTCTATGACTCCGAGGCTCTCGAGAGTGCGCATCAAAGTGCGGCATCGGGCGGAGATACCGCTGCACCCCAGGCTGATTCCGATGTGGACCTGCACTATGTCTGCTTCATCAAGTCGGACAAAAACCGTTTGTGGGAGCTCGACGGCCGTCGTAAAGGTCCCCTCGACCGTGGTGCACTAGCTCCCGAAGAGGACCTTCTTAGCGACAAGGCCCTGGACTTGGGTGTGCGTAGCTTCCTCAAGCGCGAGGCCGAAGCCGGTGGAGGCGAGCTGCGCTTCAGTCTGATCACGCTCGCCGAATCATTCTAGCACTACGTGAAACAGTGGAAGCTCGCCAGTCTGCCCCAAGGCCGGGGCAGCCTTACACGTCATTTTGCCATGGTGGCTGCGACGGTTGACACCACTGTCGACCAACAGTCGTGATAGTGGGGCGACTAAGTACGAGCCGCCGTAAGCAAAGCCTCCCGTGTGGCCTGGACCGAGTCCTTATTAAGGGGTGAGTGACGTTTTATTACTGTTCGAGTCGAACCAGGTACCCCAGAATCCTGGCTTGCCATATGCCACTGTCCTTGTCGTATTTTCAACGAGATGATCACATGGAGAAGGCCAGGAGTAGCATAGCGGTTTTTCCAAGCAAATATGCCACATCGTGCTTTAACGGAGTTTGTCTGCTAATCATGTAACGGACCGTTGATGTCTTGGCTGTCTGCGCGGTCGATCTTACCCTAATATTAGCGCCGCTATGCTCGGTACCACTTCCAGTTAATCATCATCATCTGCTTTGCTTTTTCGTTCAGTCGATCTCAACCCAAGATACCCGCGCGATGCAGCGGACGAGGAGCGCGGCCTCTGCCTCCGACATCCTTCCCACCAGCATCATGTCGACCTGTGTGCGCCTGTGCTGCATCGTTTTTCTTTCATTTTCCTTTGTCGTATCTGCTGTCCCGTTAAACGAACATAATGGCACCCAATACACGACACCTAACGCCGCCAACGACCGACGAACCCGAGTCATTACGACAGTGGCTCTGGTATTCTCCTCTCTGAGTATGTCAGCTTCCCTGGTTGCCTTCTTCTGGGTTTGTCGCATGGAAAAACAATTTCGCCATCGGTCAGTGCTATTGTGCCCAAGTGATGCATGCGCTCATGGTTCTAGTGTAGGCTTCTTATGCTCTTGATTTGCGGTGACCTGATACGAGCATTTTGTTTCGTTGTTGGAGCAATTGTAATGCTGGCTCGGGGGCCTGTGGAGAGCACGTCGGCATATTGCCAATCGAGCGGGTTCTTCATAGCGTTTGGGACGGAGATAAGTGGTAAGACGGCATATCCCAACTATTGAGCATTTCCTCACAGCCACTTTTAGATTTTGCTGTTCTCATGATAGCCATACATACCGCACTCCAGGTCTTTCGGCCCTCCGGTCAAGCGCCTTCGGAAGGTCTACACCCGTACAAGTACTATGTTTACGCATGTGTCTTTTGCGCCCCGACAATATCAGCAAGCCTAGCTTTCCTCAACACTCAAGGAGCGTATCGCTTGCAGGGCGCGTACTGCTTGCTTCCAACCCGCCCGTTCTGGTACCGGCTAGCCTTGACATGGATTCCGAGGTACTGTATCATATTCGTCATCATCAGCCTGGCCATTGCAATTTATACATATGTTGGGTGGGAGTTTAAGAACTACAATGCAATGAGCCGGAAACTTGGATACACTTTGAACAATGACCTTACGCGAAACAGCATCAATATTCGCGCGTCTCAAACTAAAGCATCACTCTTCGGTGATGGTTACATGCCCAGCGAAGAGCTTGCAACCCGTCCCGCAAGTATTATGACGCAGCAAAAAAGCTCAGGCTTGCACTCACGGCGTACTTCGACCACGTCTCAGAAAGCTGTGACTGTACCGGAGCGTAGATATTCAACTTCGTTGACCTGTAACGAGCTTTGTGGAGCACCAGGACCAACGTCTACCCTTGCCGCCTCCACCAGCCCCACCACTTCATCCTTCGTGCGAAGCACACGACGTTTCCATGCACATGGCAAGCACAGCGGCCCGGCCCGGCCACCGCTAGTCTCGATACCAAGTGGGCAGACTGTCGGACAGGTCGAATATAACGATAGTTTACACCCATGCGTGTCGTCATCGCATACGGACATACTGAGCGCTAGCACTCCGACGCTACATGCCTTTCCAGGGGCTGCTAGCACACCGGAGCTTGGGCTGCTGGAGCCACCGTCTCCAGGATTTAACCGCATGATTCGCCAGCGCGCACGCATCCACTGCCAACTACGCCTTACGTTCATCTATCCGATAGTGTATACATTAATGTGGGTGGCACCATTTGTATACCATTGCATGATGTACAACGACTATTATGCGCGGAAACCGATATGGGGGATACGGTTGGCAAATTCGTTTTGCATTGTGAGCATGGGATTTGTGAATTGCCTAGTCTTTTCGCTGCAGGAGAAGCCATGGAGAGGGATAGCGACGAGCGACGGCACGCTGCTGGGCAGTTTTTTCGTTTGGAACGGAAGAAACGATAGATGGACTCGCCGATTGCGTGGCCGATCGCGGTCGGCTGGGGCTGGTGGGGCACCGCGGGGCGAGGTGGCTCAACGGTCATTATCCGACGGGGGGCTATATGGACCCAGGCGGAGTATAGGGTCGAGCGCAGGGTTCTATGGGTACTCGCGCGTTGAGAAGAATTGGGCTCGGGAGAGGCTCGAGTGGGAGAGGGAAGAAAGATTCCGGGTGCTGCGGGAAAGGGCCATGAAGGGAGACACGACCAGTACACGGAGGCATTCGATGTGTGAGAGTAGTTTCTGTGGAGATGGCGAGCATGACTTTGTGCACGACGATAATGACGGAGAAGAAATGACGGATTGGAATATCGAGAAGCGGCATGAGGGCGCGAAAAGTCCGGATGTGCATGCCAAAGGCAGTGATATGAATTCTTAATACATTATGCATAGTTATAGATACCATCTAGAGATACCATCTAATCTAATACATATAAGATATATTGTTAGCTTTCTCTCTCTCTCTCTCTCTCTCTCTTCTTCTTCTTTTCTTTCCTGCACAGTTGCTTGTCTTGTTCAAAAGTCATCGACGTTTACCTCGCGCCCTTCTTTCAACGGCAAGTACACTTTCTCCCACAAGTCGCTCCGCTCACCGAGATGGTACGTCAGGCTGGCATCCTGCATACCCGGGGGCGATGCCGAAGAAGACGAGGAAGAAGGAGCCATGGTTTGAAGCTGGGAGATGATATTTTCCAAGCCCAGAGCTTTACCTGTAGCTTGCGTGTTTCCGGCTTCCAGTGAAACATGGACAATGTGGATGTGAAAGTGGTAGTATGTCGGTTGATCTAATAAGATTATTAAATCTCTTTTTCCTCCGTCTTTTGGGTAAAGATAGCAAGGGAAAGTGTGAAAAGGAGAAAAAAAAACAAAAAACTTACAATGCACATACAACTTCAACTCATCCCTTTCAATATCCGGATACAAGCCCACGGTTGCTTCGACCATTTTTTCCTTCATATGCCGTACCCACGCCACCATGTCCCTGGTCAAATCCCTCACACTCCAAATATCTCTCCGCTCTACTATGCCGAGCAAGTGCAAGCTGCCCATTGTCTTGCGGTCCCAGTTTAGGTCGGGGAGCAGGAGAAAGCCGTCGGACCCGGATTCGCGGTACATGACGTCTTCCTGCTCGGTGCGGCCCTCGATGATGTTGTAGACCCAATTCAAGGCGCCCTTTTCGCGCTGAGCGCGCATATAAGGGCGGATGTAGGAAGTGTATATTTGTGGTGTTTCGGTGACGATGCGGAGGCGCTGCTGGGTGTATTTCTTGACATGCTTGTCTGTGCATGGGTAGATGAGGTTGATTTTGAAGTCTGGCGGTGGTGGCGAAGAGGTATCCTTGTCGGTGCTTGGGTTGGAGTTTGCGAGGAACCAGGCGTAAATGTCGTTTGCGCCGAGGTTCTTAATGTTGCGTAGGGATGTGGAGAAGCCTTCGAGGATGGCGGGGGTCGTGTCAAAGGCGGCGCGCTCGGCGATGAGGAGTGCGGGCTGCGAGTCTATGGTTCCTAGTAGACTGATGCGGCGTCCAGCTTGGTCTGAGTTGAGGAGCCGGGTGAGCTTGAATTTGGGTATTAGAGATTCCACGTGGGCGGCTACTTCGGGGGGTGTTGTGGATGTCATGTTTTCAGATGGGGTTGAGACTGTGTACACTTGAGTCAGTAACAACCAACAATCCAACCTAGGTGAACTTTCAATTAGTCTGCATATGCTATGGTGCGTAATGAATGCACATATCAAGGGTTCATGTTTGCTCTTTAACACCCTGCATAGACGGACATTCGCCGGCAAGGCTTTCTATATTTTTTAATGCAAAGAGTTTCTGTGGTTAGAACCACATATATGCAGGAAATAAACATGGTACTAGTACCAGATCACGATTGCAATTAGAAGCGGAGGATGACTTACGGGATGGTTGGAACGGTTTGTAGTGCAAAAGCACAGAGCATGCCCGCTATCTGGGAACAATAGTGGGGTGATTCTCTTTAGTAATCACGTGACCGCGTGAAGTCGCGTATCACTGCGGCAACCAACCAGAAGCCCGTCCGAATGACGCCAAGCCCGTCGGCCAGTGAGGTCACGTCACGTCATTGTCCCAGCTTCCTCTTTGTCGCGCACGACTACTACATGTCAAAGAATCGCATACTACTCGGAATATACATCGCATATAGACAAACATGCCACCCAAAGGTAGAACTCCGCGCGCGGCGACCAAATCGCAGCAGTCAACGCTCGCTTTCCACGGATCGACGAACAAGGTCACAAAGTCCGGTGTCAAGGCACAAGCCGCAAAGAAGAGCAATGTGGAGAAGAAGTTGAAAGAGGCAACACCTGAAATCCTGGAGACATTAGGCGTAGGGCCGACGACGACTGAAGTGGCCATTATTGAGCAAACGGAGCAGGAGGTCGAGGCGCAACGAGTGGAGAGGTCGCCAGAGGAGGAGCAAGCGCGGCGCATGTCAGATGGGTTTGTCAAGAGGTATTGGGCAGAAAAGGAAAAGCAAAGGCGAGCAGGTAGAGTGCACCAGGAGGAGTTGAGTCTCCATGACAAGGTGCTTCGGGAGTTCGACATGAGCGCACACTATGGCGTAAGTTTGCCCCAATCAGCGATGTTCTGACGCAAAAGAACTCCACGTCGACCAAATTGCTGATGACTTGGGTGCCATGTAGCCGTGTACTGGAATCGCTCGATTGAAGCGGTGGAAGCGAGCGCAACGGCTCGGGCTTGACCCGCCGGTCGAGGTGCTTGCTGTGCTACTCAAGGAGCAGGAGGGCAGTGCGGGGAAGAGTGTTAGTGTGCAGCGATCGATTGTGGACGAGATATTGAACATCAAGGCCGAGGTTGATGTATGAGGGGCGGATCCGTTTATGATGGGACTATTTATGGAGGATGTTGGGAAGGTGTCACAAGGGGCACGCGAGCAGGCTACTGGGCATCAAGGCTAAAGTGGGCGGGCGGGCGAGCGAGCGAGCGAGCGAGTCAATGAGGCTCGACATGAATCAATGAGACATGAAGTTAAAGTCGAGTGTAGACCATGCGGCGGGACAGACGGATAGCTAGTGATTGCCGTGTGATGAATGAGTGGATGGTAGCGATAAGAAAAGTCTATTGTGATTGTGACAAGCGCGGTTTGAACGAGTCTGTCAGGCGGTACGTCAGCATGCATTGGCTGACGAGTCCAAGGGATGGTGCAGGGGACGGCGGCCGTGGGGACTCGGGACTGGGGCACCAACAAAGACAGCCGGTCCTGGCTCGGCAGCACTGCAGTTGGAGGTTGCGAGGGCGATGCGGGGTTGGGGGCGGGCCAGCATCATGGGCAGGTGTATGTACATGTCGGTGTGCAGAGGAGCAAGTAAAGTAGTCATGGGCAGAGGGGGCGGGTGTTGGTGGTGTCTACTCTAGTGTTGTAGTCGTAGTAGCATGCATGCGCATCCAGACGCGGGGTTGATGGGTTGGTGATGGATCGCCCAAGGGCCGATGCAGATGCAGATGCAGTGCAGGCCTTCGACTTCACTCTGGCCGGCCATGGCAGTGGCAATTGCTGAGCTGCGGCCAAGTGGGCCATTCCCCAAGGCGCCGCCTGCCACTGGCCACACTAGCCGTCAGCCCGGTTCCACGCTGCCGGCCGGCCATGCTCGAGAACTCTCCTCCTCTGCCTCCCAAGGCCTATCTCTCTCCACCCACACACCCACCAGACCCACCCTCGTCCTCCTTCAACTGCGTCCCCGCGAGCCTATCCTCCTAGCACCATCCACCATCCATGTCCCTCTGGCACTTTGCTATCTGCCATCACCGCCACGACACCTGCGCCCCTCGCATCCACGCTCGTCTACGCACACGCACACGCACACGCACACGCATAGTCAGCCTTGCTTTTGTCGGCCACGCCCTGGACCCTAGCCACTCCCTGCGCATTCATCTAACCACCTACTCCTTCGATACACACACATATGCCCATAGAGTACTGTCGTCTGCGCGAGCCAATCCGCGCCGCTCCGTCCAAGCAAGCCTTGCAGGGTGGCTTGCAGCATAGCGCTAGCTTTAGCTGAAGGAAAACGGCGCCTTTTCCAAAGTGCTGGGGGGGAGGGGTGGGGAGGTCAGATAGCGGGGAACCACTAGACACGCCCATATCACTCCTACGCTGCATCCTCTTCCTGCTCCTCCTCCTCCTCCCCTGCCTTTTCTTTTCTTCACTTCTACCCCCCAAATTCCATTGATACCCTTATCCCCCCCATCTCCCGTAATGCTCGCCCTCACGCTGTAGACCCGTGTCCACCACCCCCCGGCTGTTGATCAACTCAGCAGCCAACGCGTGCGCAATCTGGCCAAACCCTCAACGCAGTAGGTCCCAAAAAAGCAACACACGTCGATACGCCCAGTACCGTATACTTATCAATTGCACGACAGAAGATTCGCTGTCACTCCACCCCATCGTGATTGTGATACACATTCTCGCCCCCCTCCCCCCCCGCTTCTTGGTCCTCCTTTTTGATTAGGAAAGAGCGACTGCCCTACCGCTACTTACCTATCCGATTATCATCACCCACGGCCTTGCCCCAGCGACTCCTCGCCTTCCACACGCCCATTGTGCACGTTGCGCACTTTCATCCGCATCCTACTGCCTCTTCTTCGTCTGCTTCTGCTTCTGCTTCTGCTTCTGCTTCTGCTTCTGCTTCTTCTCCCTCTTCGCCTCTAAACCGCAAACATGGCCGCTGCTGTCGCCAGCTACCCGTCCATGCCACGTCCTTCCTCGACTCCTCCACCGCACCTGTCTCTGAACACGTCATCCCGCGGCACGCCTGCTCCCATTCCTAACAAGCACATTCCAGTCTGCCCGCCTGGCGCACTCCCTGCCACGCCTCCAGCGTCTCCTCCCCGCCAGGACAGCCTCATTGAGACTTCCTCAATCACCTTTCCCCCTGATGCATACTGCTCAAAGTATTCCGATGATCCACCCCTCTACACCATCACTGCAGATCGTCTGGCCCAGGCACTAGAGCACATGGCAACACAGCCGCTTCCGAACCCTGAGCAAGTCTTTCCCTGGATGCACGGCCTCCATCCAGACAATCAGATACAGCTTGCTTTTTTCTCCTCGCGTCGCAGGAGTGGCCGCAAAGTCCCCACGTGCATTCGCAGCATCACCATTGTCAAGACTGGCGGAAACCTCTCGTCCTCCAAGCTCAAGGGTGCCATTGCCCCTGATGAGATACTTGATTCTGTCGCTTCAGAAAACCCTCAATTCCTCGAATGCGATCCCAAGGAAGGCTTCTCCGTGCGCAACTTTCACATCCAGACTTGCAAAATGGCATTGGTGTCAGATATCATCGTTTACGGCGACCACAAGACAAAGCCCGAAGACACAATAGCACTAGCCCAGAAAATCTCCAGAGCTCAGAGGCAGTATGAATCACAGCATGGCCTTTCGCCATATCTGTTCAATACGTTTATGCTTTCAGGTAATTCTGACCCTGCACATACGCTACATGTACAAACGGCTAATGGTTTCCAGATACTTTCAGTTCGGTGCAGGAAAAGCACCCCAAGCTGATTGCTGTCAACTCTACTGGACAAATGACGGGAGAAGTTGTAGACTTTTGTAAGTAGCAAGAGCGGAACTGGCAAATCACAATGGCTAACTTGTGCCGTTAGTTTACTGGGAGCGGTACGAGATGAGCGAGATGTCAAAGGCATCGGAAATCAGCAACAATGTATTTCTCGGCCCAACACCCGACCAGACACTGCACCCAGAGTGCTTAGGAACAGAGGCCTATGACATGCTCATTGAGGCAACCGATCTAGCTCATGTACCCGAACCACGCTCACTCCGAGCTCTTCGTATGGGTCTGGAAAGAGTCCACCGCAAGTCAGCTTTGCACATGGAGTTCCCCTCATCAGGGAGTATCATGCCTCCCACTTGGGCACACGGAGAGATCGATGGTCTCATGGCCATGTGCAAATGGATGTACGAATTGGCCAATCCAAACGAAGTACGGAGGTCGAAGCGAAGGAGGGAGGATGAGGACGAAGCTATAGAAATGGTCGACACTGCAACACCACGCAAGTTCTTGATCCATTGTACTGATGGCTACACCGAGACGACCCTTCTTGCACTCACCTACTTCATGTATGCTGAGGGCCTTCCCGTTCATGACGCTTGGATCAAGCTGCATCGTGAAAAAGGCCGAAACTTCTTCGCATACCCATCTGATGTAGCCCTTCTGACAGCCATACAACCCCGCATTCTCCAGGAGTCACCCCGCTTCAACCAGAGCATCCTCAACATCCCTGAGCCGCGCTGGCTCTCGAAGCTTGATGGAAGCCTGCCCAGCCGCATTCTACCCTACATGTATCTCGGCAATCTTGGCCATGCCAACAACCCAGAGCTTCTCCATGCCTTGGGCATTACCCGTGTATTGAGTGTCGGTGAGACACTTTCTTGGCCCGAGGGCATGCAAAAGGAACTCAATTGGCCCATTGAGAACTTTCTCATGATCGACCGAGTTCAGGATAATGGCGTTGATCCTCTATGGGGCGAGTTTGGGCGTTGCTTAAAATTCATTGGTATGTATTCGGGCCCGTACTTGTCTTGGGAACCACTAACAAATATTCAGAAGCTGGAAGGGCTGAGGGTGGTGCTACACTTGTGCACTGCCGCGTCGGTGTTTCTCGCTCGGCAACCATCTGCATTGCTGAAGTCATGAAAGAGCTTGGCCTTTCCTTTCCTCGTGCTTAGTGAGTAGTGCCTGTTCTCCATGTTGGGATTCTAGCTAATACCTGCCAGCTGTTTTGTGCGAGCCCGAAGACTTAATGTCATAATACAACCTCACCTTCGGTTCACCTATGAACTACTCAAGTGGGAAGAGTACCAGCGTCAGCGACGCAACGAACCTCTTCGCCGCGAATTAGAATGGGCCACTGTGGCGCGCGAGATCGCCCTTATGAACAAGCCTTACTCGAGATGATTTCCTTTCTGCACTCTGTGTGCGCCTATTTCTGCCATGACTGACGACGACACGAACCGTACATGTTCAACTACCAAATTTCGACTTTGAACCCGACCGCTCGATTCTGCGGCGGGTTTCGCCCCAATGTACGCGATACAATGGCGTTTCTGCGGCCTTTTTGTTTTTTTTTTTTGTTTTTTGTCTTCTTCGTTTAATCCTGCTCTTTTCGCATTTTCCCGTAATAAGAGCCGTCATGTTTTGGTGGCATTGATTTTCACAAGGTCGTCAACTTGCTTTTGATTTGTACCGGGAAATCGGGCGTGGGTTTGGTTGTGACTTGTCTTTTTGTTTTGGTATATTTGCGCGAGAACCCAGCCACACGGCTTGATTGTACTGGATGTATGCCATTCTAGTCCCTGCATGTGCATGGCGATGGAATGCGGGCTTTGGAGGCACCTTCCCTTACTCATCTTCTCAATACGTGTATTACTGTCTTGATCTGCCTCAGCAACTTTTTCACTGCTGCAGCCGATGAGCAACCGGCTAGGTTTTTTTCATGCAACTCTGGGGGCGTCTAGGATAGCTTTCCGTTCCTTTCAACGTACAAATTCCATCTTTTCCTCTGCTCTTAGCATCATCCTCAGACATCACGTGCAAAGTCTAAACATCACAATATCATTGGCCTTGTTGCTGAATCAAGTTGCTTTTATTTTGTTCGCCTACTCTTTACCACCTAGGTACCTGTACACAACTGAAAAGTCTTTTCCTTTGCAGTTTTCCGCCTGCTCTACAGCATCGTATAGTGCTCGTGCTGGTTCACCCAAAGCAAGCTTGACGTCGGCCTCGGCTGCTGCTTTGAGCGCAAGCTTCAGGTCCTTGTTGGCCAGAGCTATCCCAAACCCTCCCTCATACCCTCTGCTAGCAGGCGAGCCTTCAATCACACCAGGCACGGGGTTGTTGACTTCGCTCGGCCAGCACTTGCCTGTCGCCGTGTTGATCATGCCTGCTAGAGCCTTGGGGTCAAGGCCCCATTTGACGCCCATACTCATGGCTTCAGCAGTTGCAATGTTGTTGAGCGCGAGAAGGTAGTTGTTGGCCAGCTTGCCTTTGAGGCCCGCTCCTGGCCCGCCGAGGTGAACTACTCTTCGGCCCATCAACGACAGTACTTTGGTCGCGCCCTCAACAGCCTCTGGTGGTGCACCAATCATAAAAGTGAGCGTGCCTGCCTGTGCACCAACAACACCACCCGACATGGGTGCATCCACAAACTTGCCTTGGCCAGTAGAGTGAGCAGCTTGCGCTACTTCACCCGATGTCATAGGGTCAATAGTCGAGCAATCAATGAAGAAGCGCTCCTTTTGGACCACCCCATCTGTGAGAAGCGTTGGGGGTTCCAGCATCTCTTTGAAAACAGCTTTGACATGCTTAGGCTCCGGCAACGAGGTAATGATTGTTTCCTGTATCAGCGTTAGTGTACTGCTTCTGATGATGATGGCAAGTAACATTTGCTGAATATGAAAGCATCAGAGGATTGGCTATAATATTTGTGTAATCAGAATAAGGGCCACGAATGGCCCCCAACTTAGATCATTGATAGAACAATTAATTCATCACAAGACATTGTGCAGGAAATAGAGGACGTGGCATCTACTTACAGCATTCTCAGCAACTTCTCGAACGTTTTTAGCGACCTTGACACCCTGGGGATGTTCATCAAGGAACTGTTTGGTGGCCGCAGTGTTGACATCATGCACAAATAGCGTGTCTTCAGCTGGTATCTTAGCCCTGAGGTTCTTTGCCATTGGGTATCCTATGACAAGTTAATAGATGCAGTCTTTGAGCAACAATGGTACTTACCCATCCGTCCAAGGCCGATGAACCCCCACGTAGCCTGCCAGTTCTGGGAGCTCGAGAAGCATCTCCGTGTACTTTGGCGTGCTGCAAATGGTGCCGTTCTTCGCACAGGCGAAACAAACGCTGAGACTGTCCGCATTGTGTAGTCGTGAAGGGTAGACGTCGTGGGGTATCGTCAAGATGCGAGATGCACTGTAGAGAGCGGTTGGAAGCGGTCTCCGCACTCTTGGGTTGCGTTCAGCCGAGGTCGCGGTCTCCGGAAGCAGCTGTGGGAACACTGCTAGCAGCTGCAGCCTCGCAAGGCACTGGGGCCATGTTTGCATGCATGCTGGAAGAGTGACACCGTTGCCGGTTCACAATGCACCAAAGTGGCTATGCCTAGTGATCCTGGCGAGGATTGGTGCTGCTGGGAGTGCTGGTTGGAAGATTGGAGAAAATCTGCGGGCTGGTGGAAAAGTATTTCCGGCCGAAGCGGCGCTAAGCTTGATAGGTACATGCTAAGATCTACTCATGGTCCTCTTGATGTGACCCCAATGAAGTATATCTCCTTTGTGAAAGTAAAGATGGACCCATTTTAATGTTCAAGCATAGAAACGTCGAGTAGATAGCGTCTAGAAGTACTCTGTCCACTCAAGCAGTCCTCTGGTGACCATATCGAGCGGAGGTTTGCATGCCGACATATATGCAATTTTCAGTGACCTTTTTTCGCTCATTGAAAATAGATTCCGAAGATATCTAATGTGTTAGTCTGGGCTTTCCAGATTTGTTGCCTCGAGTAGAGCTGGGTATTGTTGCAGCGAAATACGCAAGGTACGGATATAATGGCTTAGTCAGCTGCCATATCGCATCATGAACTTTTGTCCACCATTGTGATTCAACGCCGACCGCAACCCAATATGGCCGTCTCACTCCTGAGGGGCCTTCTACGGCCATCAATTCTCTCGACTGCACAGTTCGCTGTCGCACGATCAATACGACCTGCTTTCGCTGCCCCCGCTTTCGAAACCACCGCTCCAGCCCTCGCAATCCGCCCGCCGCCATCATCGCGCGCCCACAAATGCACGCTGATACAAGTGCTACGACAAGGGAGAATCGCACAAAAAGCGCGCAAGCTTCGTTCACCGCAATTGAAGGACCGACCGGAGCTCAAAGGAGTGTGCCTCAAAGTGGGAACAACCAAGCCTAAGAAACCAAACTCGGGAGAGAGGAAGATTGCGAGGGTCAGACTGAGCACAGGCAAGGTCATTACGGCATATATTCCTGGCGAAGGTATGACATGCATATCTGTGGACTTGCAAGACCTTGGGCATTGCTAATGGGACGTCAGGACACAATGTGCAGCAGCATTCTGTAGTCATGGTGCGAGGCGGACGAGCACAAGATTGCCCCGGTGTGAAATATCACTTGGTTCGAGGAGCGCTGGACCTGGTAAAAACTCGTTTCTTGCGAACAAAGACTATGTTGCTGACATGTCCTAGGGTGGTGTTGGTAACAGAATTACTGCTCGTTCAAAGTACGGCACAAAGAAACCAAAGACTGCATAAGCCAGCAGAACGTAGTTCAAACTTGTATCATATCTTTGGCATCAATGGCGTTAAAAACACGCTGGGCAGATGGGCAATGGCCTTGTCTCCAGCCTGGGCATCCTCCATAAATGTTCGGCCCCCAGAGAGTGGCCAATCTTTTGAAAATGGAAGAATGCAGCCATGTTCTCGCTCTTCCCGCTCAGTGCTCCACATGCCGCCATACCAGTTGTGCCAATACCTTACCGTGTGACTTGCAAATATGCATGGGCAAAAAACAAAGAGTTACAAAAACAAAAACATACGACAGCGGGGATTCGCCAGTGGTCACCCACCTGACTACTAATCCGCCGGTAAACTGCTTATATATGCCAGATCGGACGGGATGGCTAGCTCTCAGTTTCCAATGGTCGTATGTGCCAGAAAAATGAGGATAGCTTTATCATATTCGTGGATATCATGTTTGCGCGGACCGAGATTTTCCAGGAGCTCAAGTGATGTTATCAATATCTCAGCTTGGCACTGCCGCACGAATAGCAAACACCTACTTTACACCCCCTTTCGCACCCTACACAGTCAATGAAATGCTTCAGAGAGCGAGGCATAAATGAATTCTGTATGATCTCGGCCACGTAGGGGCGTGGGTGTGGAGTTCGTCTCTGGCAATTACACAATCACATGTAAGCGACCTAGGCACATTGCAGGCAAGCGAAGGTGCTGGCTCATATGTTGGTGATTGCTATGTATTCTTTGCGCCCAGTGCTTGGAGGCCAAGAAACAACTGTTTGCTTTCATGACCCATGTATTTGGGGATACTTATTCGTGTTTCTACCCCAACAGGCAAAAGCCGATGTGTTGTCGGGTTTGGTCCGACTCATTTGCCCGGATAGTGCGTAGGTTGCGGGGATGAGGATGGGGCGGAGGTTTGACCAGGTCGCCCGGGCTGCATGTTAGCGTCATCCCCACGACTGCCGCGTCAGGACGGCCAACTCGCAGCCCAAACCAGAGCTGATCCATCAAAGCGCTTCTTGTCGATATCTCATCAGGGCGTGTCAGCCTCGTATTTGCGCGTTTGTAATCGCCATGTACCAATTCCAATAGTCGCTAGATCTCTGCACTCCCTCGAGCTTCAGATATCCCCGGGTATCCGTAAACCGTCCGTAATGGTGTCGCCCGGCGCGTCCACCAACGCGACTTCATTCCTACCATCGTCAGCAGATCTGCTCATGGCCTTTCCTCGTCTTCTCTCCAAAGTTAGTTCTTTGGGTGATATGATGCGCGCAGGGGGTAGCGTGATAGCAGAGCCAACGGCGAACCTAACCAACAATACAATAACTTCCACAGTTGCTTTTATACAAGAGTCTCATTCTACAGCCGCTGCTACAGTGGCGGCATCTTCAGAAAGTGATATGACGGTGTGGCAGGCTTTGAGAAATGTAGCGACATGGTTCAGCTACATAACATCAAAGTGGGCAATTGCTACGTTTGCTATTGTAAGTTGCACACGAGCCTAGGAGAATAGTGATCCTTTGCTTATCACATACACACAGGCAATTCTCTTGAACCGCACTCACTTTTACGGAAACAGCCGCATACCTCTATCTTTCGGCCGCCTCTACCTGCGTTTCACTCTCTACGTTATGCCCCTGTTGTTGTTCCTATACCAAATTTCGAATGTGCTCCGAGCGATACGATGTCAAACCTCCCCCGACTGGTCAGAAATGCAATATGGAGCAAGTGGCAGACATCTGGATACCGATTTCGGCGGCGAGGGTGGTTTTATCTGGCGTCTTGCATCGTCAATCTTATTCTGGGAAACTACCGAAGAGTCTTGCCACGCTGTGAACATGCTTCCACAAGATTCATCGGCAACAAGAGATTCTGGGTCGCTGGCTCTCCTTTGGCCCATTTTCCTGTCTTTGGGGTTTGGCCAATTCATCGACACTTTAGCCTGCGCTCTTCAGGGCAGGCGCCCTATTCAAGAAGTTGGAATGACTCTCTTCGAACACTCACTTGCATTCGCCGAAGCCGAAGCTGTTGTTACTAGGCCGTTGGCAGTCGATTCAACACGCTTCTTCAAGCCAAAGCCTGTATTCGCACCGAACGGCACGTCACTCATGCTGCAGAGAACGCAGCTCTCCAAAATCGCTAATGTTCCCCCGGAAGTTTTGCTTATATCTCTTATATCAAGTGTTAGCCATTTCACAAGCAACCTGTTAGCGATCGCAGGAGTGCGTTCAAAGTACCGACTGATTACTACCACAATCTGGGGACTGGCATACATTTCGGCTTTCGCTTGGAGCTTTGCTCGCCTCACATGGATGGTCGCTGACCCAGACAATTATGTGGGTATATTGAGGTTTCCCACTGTGTGTATCATTGGCTTCATTCCCCACCTATTGATTATACTTGGTATGATTGCATGCGGCGTTATCTACTTGCTAGCTCTTCTCATTACAGCGTTTTCCCTTCCGGCAAGACAAAACGAATCTCTCACACTGCGCGAGAGATTTGCAGCTGCCTACAGCAACCTTCACGCCAACATCCATCTATCGTCAGTTTCACCCTTGACAATTAACTGGCATGAGGACTTTTATACTACCATTCTCAAGGTGGGCTATGTGATTCTGACTGCCGCGAGTGAGGCAGTCTTTCTGAATGAAGGCACCAAGGTCAACGTGCACGCTATGACCTGGCTAGAGAAGCAGCGACTTCAAGAAATCCTTGCTCGTCGGAGAAGACGTCGAGAAATGCTCGTCGACATTCCAGCAGAGCTCAGAAATGATACATTCGCTCAAGGCGTTGAGGTGATCGATCAGCTCAACGACGGAAGGTCAGACGCATCAACCTCAGGCTATGCAAAGGAGCGGAAGACTAGGAGCGCCAAAACATCTACCGACCCTTCGGGTTCCATGGGGCATGATGACCCAGCCCGCCACCAGCGCGGCCGCTACGTTCAGACTTATAGATTCTTCGTCCGTATATCGAGGCTAGTCATCCTTGGTGTCGCAAAAGTCACAGGCTGGTTTCTAATGAAGGTTGGCATAAATTACCGGCCGATGTGGCTGAGGCGTGCTGCTGGCGCTTATGAAGCCGAGAAGGTATATTCGCTAGCATCGCGTTCAGATCGGATATCAGCCAGCCAGTCGTGGCTTACCTTGGACAATCGTAATCGGATTCGTCAGGACCCGACGTTTGATGTCGAATCGTTTGCAAAAGAGAGGCTTCGACAGAGCGGCTTCTACTCTGAGCCGGATACGGAAGAATCTGAGGAACGTCTCAACGACTATCTTTACTCTTGGTGGCGGAATGGCAGTCTTTGGAACGAAGTCGACAACAGCAGAGACTATGTGGTCGCACAGGACGATGATACTACTAGTGTAGTTTCGTTCGCCACCACAACTGACAACGACGAATGGTCTGATATTGACGATGGACAGAGAACGCCAACGCGCGACACATATCGACACAGTCGAGAGGAGACACCCTCGGTGGATGACGCCATGGATTTCTCACGCCTTTCGCAGCTCCTCGATCCGAAAACAAAAGAAGATCGCGAGGAGGCTAAGTTACTATCTAGACATCTTCAGAGCCCCAATATCATGACGCGCTCGCAATATCGTAAGGCTCTAGAGCGAGATGAAGCCAAGGTTTTGACAACATCACGTTACCAAGTAGGCGGTGACATAGCAATGTCACCAGAGGAAGAGGAGCAGCTCCTTGAAGACTTTATCCTCAGCCGCCGAAGCGCCACAGCACCGCCGGGCAGGAGCAATGCTGGCAGCTGGGATACAGGGGCAGAAGGCATGGGCTCTGAAGGGCCTCAGTGTGTAGTATGCCAAATGGCACCGAGAACGGTACTGGTATGGCCCTGTGGATGTCTGAGCTTGTGCGATGAATGCAGGGTGGGATTGGCGTCGAAGAACTACACGACATGCGTCTGCTGTAGGACGAATGTAGCGGCATACTCACGGCTTTATGTGCCATGAAACTGTCGCGATATCTCTTTCGTTGTTTCCTAACCAAGCCTTGCTACATGTCTTGTATATACATATTTGAATAAATATTTTGCATAGAGCACTTTTCAACAAAGACCAAGAAATAGTTTTCGATGGGCGGAAAGAACAATTACCCATTGCGCATCGGGGCATATCGGAGTCAGCTCGATCCGATGGATAGGGAGTGGGGCGGCGACCTTGAACAGCCAGTGTTACCTCAGCCTACCCCACGTTCGAGTTCTCTATCTGCGAGTGGCGATCGTCATCTCTTTCCGTCACAACTGCTTGTCTTGGCAAACGAGTCATCAAAACTTCCGTTCTGAACACACTCCTCCTGACAACCACACCCGTCTAACGCTCAATTACCCGCGCCCGCACAAAATCAACCCTGACTGAGCATTCCCAACAAGCTCGGTCAATCGCACACATCCAAGAAAGCAACTTAAAGTTTTATGCAGCCAGAGCCCACAAACGTATCGCAACGCGCCTCCCAGCAACACGCCACCTTCGACGCCGCAACCACTTCCCAGCATGGACACCGTCGCAATGATAACTTGCAGGACTCTCTGCAGCCACACTTTGGTGGGCTGTGGGGAGATCCCGGAGTCCCAGTCGGTAGACCTGCACGCGATACGACAGATTTGCCCCAAGTCACCGACCGCTTCACCCCTATGGAAACCAATGGACTGGAGGGCGGTGCGCGACCCTCACCACCTCCGAGGGACAGGATCACCGAATATGAAAACGCGCTAACCAACTCACCGCGAAAGCCTGCTGATGGTCCTCTTTTCGAAGTTGTTAAGAGCAACAGAAACCCAGACGACAAAAGCAGCCCTATCGCGAAGCTGCCAAATGGTGTGTGAAAACTGTTCTGCAAATACTCTACAGAAAAATGACATATCGAGGCCAGACACTAACTTCGTACAGAGGTACTTATTCATGCTATTGCGCATCTTTCACCCAACGATCTTGCCGCAGTCTCTCTTGTTTCTCGCCGCTTTCACGATGTCGTCACTACTCCGCACGCATGGCAGGTGGCTTTTGGTCGCTCTTTCCCAGGTCCACACGCGCTCGAAGACGCGCAATATCGTTCAGCCTTGGAAGACAGCGGCGATGCTGTACGGTCTGAGAAGAGGAGGTTCACTAGACTTACTGCATTGGCGTCATGGAGAAGCGAGTATATCTTGCGAACAAGACTTTTACGATCCCTGGTCCGAGGCAAACCCGTTCAAGTACCTACAACACCGTCCCGCGCCGGCCAAATGCAGACAGTGGCCCCAATGATCACCTATGATGCCAAGACATATACTATTATCAATCACCTACACGCAACATTTGGATCCGGTCTAAATAACAAAATGCCTCGATTCATTCATGGCGCAGATGACGTTGGCATGGTAACTAGCAGCGATCCAATGGCTGGCAAAGTAGATCCTTGGGGACAAAGCGATCCTCACTTTTACGCTCAGTTCGCAGAACGTTTCCCAGGCGTTGCTGAATGGGGACTAGGTTCTGGAGATGTCGTTGGGTGTCCTAACGTAATGGATATATCACAGCCCTATGGTATGATTTATGGTCAGGGCTGTCCAGAAGGCTCCTGCTACTACCGTTCACTCGAAGAAATGAGGGGTCGCTTCATCGCTGAGCCTACCGATCTTACCATGCCAGAAGCTGGTATACCCAAGCTGGGTACTAATATAGGCGCTGCATGCAGTGTCTGGATCGCGAAATCAAACACCATTCCAACGCTTTCTGAGGGCTTGATTGGTATGATGATTGGCTCTGCAAATGGTGTTGTCAGTGCTTGTAGCATTGGCACAGATGGTCTCCGCTCGTCTCGTGTACAGCGCGGTGAGTTAACTGCGCGCTGGGTTCTCAGTCCAGGTGTACCCATCATTGCTATTGCCGTGGATGAGCAATACTCGTCTAAACGCTATGCCCAGAACCGAATTTGGGCAGTCGCTCTGAACGCCCTTGGTGAGCTATTCTATCTCACCAAGTTCCCAAATCGTAGTCAGACTCCAAAGGGCGATGTCGAGCAATATTCCGAGTACCTGGCGTGGCTGACTGGCCGGAGCGTGTATTGGAACATTGTTGAACCCAGCAGGCGCAGTGCGAGACCTGATCCGTACAGCGATGCCGAAATAGATGGGAGTTACTCACCTCGTACATCATGGGATGGCATGTGTCTGAGCAAAGGGCAGATTGCTGCAGAGACCAAAGAAATCCAGCAATACCTACAAAAGCCGCCGAAACATTTCCGTAAAGTATGCCTCGGATGGGATATGCGTAGAAGACTTGAAGTCGACTTTGCCGGCGATGATGGCAACGATGTTGGCGAGGCAATAGTTGTGTTTGAATGCGGCTTGGAAGAGGGTGACGTCGCTAATATTACACGCTTTACTCGATGCAAAGCAGATGAGAAGGATCAGAGTCCAAACACGCCAATCCGGATGCCGACAGCGTTTCCTACTCAGACATCTTCATTATTTGGCGGCGTAGGCCCGGAGGTCCCGGGTCTAGCAAGTGTCTCGCCGCGTGTTCGCAGCTTGTCGTACAAATCCACGACTAGTTCACCTGAACGAGCGAGTCTGGTGGAAGAGTGGCGGTGTTCGAAGCTTGGATTCGGTGGCTTCAAGAACACGCAAATCACCACGACTACACTAGATACCTCTACATTTGCCACTCTCACTCTATCCGAAGACCCTGCACTCGGGTTCTCGACCACATCAACTGCGTCTTCGCCATATGCCTCGCCATTATCAGTCGCAAGTCAGCCTTCATCTCCGTCCGACATACCAGGTCAACGCGCACGATATGTAGCTGCTGGTACAAAATCCGGTGTCGTGCTTCTTTGGGATATCCGGTTACCTGTGTCGCGTTCTGCGGAGTTTCAAAACACCATTGAGCCTATCCGTATTATCTACACCGACTCGCCTGAGATTTCGTGCTTGGCAGTCACCTCTCTGTATCTTGTCGTGGGTGGAAACGATGGTCTGGTGCAGGCCTGGGATCCTCTCGCTTCAACTATGTCACCGATTACGACGTTGCACTCACGCCACGCCTCGCGTGCTCGAAGACAGCTCGTACAGGCCCAAGCTTCTGTTCAAGGTGTCGGGATCAATATGTTTGCTGCTGGCGCTATATACCTAGATCCCGATCCAACAGTTCTGCGTGGTGCTGTGTCGCTTGGCAACCAGCTCCGCTTTTGGAGCTACAGCTCTTCTGCGGCTGATCAGTACAGAAGCAGCAAGCGCAAGCTTCGGCGTGCCGAGCGCGGAAGTAACAACACCGGAGAGCGCTTCCCTGGTGCTGGCCGGGCTAATCTGAAAAACTACATTGCCAATGAGCAGTTCGAATTGGAACGTGACAGATTAGAACGCCATAAGCAAGCTGAACATCTGGCGGGGCGCTTTGGTACGGAAATGTTGAGTGAAGAAGAGGCATTGGCGTATGCTGCGATGCTTTCTCAGGAAGCAATGGAAGCTGAGGAACAGCGCCGTGTTGAGCTGGAGGTGAGTGCATTGAGCAGTGAGACTGTGACTACGGAGTCTAGTGTCCGGGCCCAGGCCTCAATATCTGTCCTTGAAAATGACGAAGAGCTCGATGCGGATATTGCCGAAGCCATACGCCTTTCTCTCAACGACAACCAAGGTCCCGACATGTTTACATCTACATCGACGCCTCCATCTGCCTATGACATTCCGATCAAGTATGCTAAAGGCAAGAAGAATTCGCCTGCACGCTCTCGAAACGACACTCCCCAGAGGGTAATGGCTGGATCAAGCATCGAGAATGAAATGTCGGATCTGGAGTTTGCGATGCAGCTTAGTCTTGCTGAGGAGCAGAGTAGGAAGGATGCCGAAGATGCCTTTCCTCCACTCAGTCCTGCACCTGGTAGGAAGGGTAAGGGAAGAATGTGGTAATTGTTTCATGTTGTATATTTCTGGTTGTAATTCTCTTCGTAGCTGGCTTTTTTAATACCTTTTCGATTGCTGTTGTTCTCTTTTCTTCACTCTAGAAGGCACCATGTATGGACATCCTGCACCAATTTCGGCCTTGAGGCAGTAGATAACCAGCGACACATACTCTCTATTAGTTGAAAACAAGATTTACCCATTTGAACAACTTTTTTGGCGCCTTTCCTGTTTGACTCATGTTGGCGCTCTATAGAGTTAGCGCTCTGCGGCTCAGAAGGCCTCCTGTTGATATTAGGCTACAACCGAGACAACTGCCCAGCAAGGCGCCCTATGGCGCGGGCGTTAAAAACCTCCTTGTTCTTTGCTGGTCTGCCAGCAACCTCACATAATAATCATCAAACCACTCCTCTACTTGAACGTCAACATGGCCGGCATCTCAGTCACGTCAACCGCTGTTTCATTTGTCAACAAGCTACGCGGAAAGTCCAATCCGTACGAAAAGGCTCGTCACACTCAGTCCAATATCACTTCACCAAACAACACAACATATCAATCGCGAAATGTCGTCCCACAAAACGACTTGCTCGCAGAAGCCCGTGAAGCAGCGGGCCTCGACCCAGTCACAGGTCGTCGGCGCACACATGTGGCTCACCAAACGCTCAGTCAACAGCAGCCAGCACCATATGGTGCTAGTCAGACGCCTGAAGAACAGAAAGCAGCATATTTAGCGTGGGCAGCACAGAGGCCGCAAGAGAGAGGACAGCCATATGGCAGTTATGAGGAGTTTGTACGTGAGATGATTGAGAAGAGGAATGGGAGGGACGCTGCGGGTGAATTGTCGGGTTATTATGCGCCGGAGAGGAGGGTGGAGGAGTATTATTCTCATGCAGTGAGGGGCTAGGTGACCTTTTATCGAGGTGTATTTGTTCTCACTGTTGTACTTTACAGGGTTCTAATGTGAATTAATTGGTTGGAGCTAGTATGCAGAGTCCATAACATTTGGGTGTAGATGGAGCGAAGCAAATGGGGGAAAAGAGGCAATAGACAAACACGATACCCAATATTTAATCACATGACTGCTCTTTCCTTCACTCATGAGTGTACACGTAAACGCTCCATTTTATCTTTCACTTCCCAGCTAGACTCCTTGATATAAAACAACCCCCCCCCCCCCCCCCCCAATCACCCACATCACAGTCTTCAAACCCTTGGCAAACAAACCTCACCATACAGTCCCCATTCCACCTAGTTGTCTGTCGGCAAATCAAGCACTATGGGCTCCGCAATGCTGCAGCACCTCCCCTCAGCATGGCACGTCGACCAAGCCATTATCACCGAAGAACGCCGCATAGTGTGTCTCCGCTTCGGCAACGACGCAGACCCCGCATGCATGGACATGGACGAGAAACTGTACAAGATTATGGAGAAAGTCAAGGACTGGGTAGTCATTTACCTCGTGGACAACAAGGTACGCTTTACACCCTTTTTTTTCCTTTTCAACTTCCTCATTATTTCCTGACAAACCCACTCTTTCCTTTCTTTCCACCGGCACTCAGAAAACATGTCTTCTTTGTGCAAGTACAAATCAACTGACTTATCTGCGTGTGACATAGCAAGTCCCCGACTTCAACGTCATGTACGAAATCTACGACCCGTGTACTGTCATGTTCTTCTGGCGCAACAAGCATATCCAAGTCGACTTTGGAACGGGGAATAATAACAAGATTAATTTCCCGATCAGCGACAAGCAGGGGCTGATTGATATACTCGAGATGGTGTATCGCGGGGCGAGCAAGGGCAAGGGTTTGGTTGTTAGTCCGAAAGATTATTCTACAAGGTGGGCTTATTAGGAGAGGCTATGGAAAACAGATGGGAGATTGGCAAGTTACCAAAGAAAAAGGAGGCACGTTCGAGGGGAAGTGCAGAAGGAATGCCTTGATATGAAGACTGAATGGAACCAAAATCTTTTCCTTTATTACAAGTACCCTAGAAAAAAAGACCTGCTCTATATGATTGATCAGACAGACACCTAGTGCCAAGTCTAGCCTATCAACACCTTGGAATAAATTTTGCATGCGCCATCCAACGCCTTGCCATGCAGAAGATGACGGGAACCTCAATCCTCGCTATGAACGAAACAAAACAAGACCAACAATGACTGCATCATCAGCCCCAAACGCGCAGTGACTCAGCCTCTCGATTAATGCTTGGAGGAAAACAAGTGCAGCTTCTTCTTTTTCTTCTCCTTTCCATCCTTTTCTTCTTTACCGGGCTTTGTGCTGCTCTGTGACGGCGTCGGACTATGTTTGGGTGCGTTGAGATTCATGGCGCCCATGGCTGCTGTTGGAGGCTTCGGGCCACCAACCCTTGGTCCAGACGGCAAGCCTCCAGGCATAGGTGGCTTAGCACCAGCAGGGGGTGGTGCTGGCTTTGGCGGCTCCGGTTTCTCGAAAAGATGGTCCGGAGCCTTTGGTTGGGGTTGGTCGATAGGCAGGCGCAGGTTGCGGCGGTTCTGGCTAAGGTCACCAACTTGGCGTAAGAAGAGTTGAGGCTTCATCATGTGTGAGGTGACAAGGAAGACATCACGCGTCGTCTTACTAGAAACATCGTAGCAAGCGCGAGATTCTGAGTATGTTGCACCACCAGCCATGAACACAATGACACGCTGTCGCGGTTCTGCACTGGCTAGTCGTGACTTGGCCCAGGTTGGTTTGGCAGCGCGAAGAGAAGTAGGAGCGGCATTGTTCTCTGGTGCCATGTTGGCTGCATCTTCAGGCGACATCTTTGTAAAGGGGAAGATGTCTTGAGGAAGCGTCCCGCGAATGTGTTCTTCTAGCATATCCTGTAATGCCGGGTTGAATCTTGACAATCCATAGTCTTCTTGATTTGGTGGTGGTGCTGGCTTGGGTGGGAAAAGAGGTTGAGGCGCATCTCTCTTCTCCTTGAGCTGCCTTGCTACTCGTGCTCCGAGCAGATCAAGGTTGCGGATGACTTCGCCGTCAGGTGGTGGTAGCTGTGCGTGAAAAATGAGCTTCTGCAGGTCGGCTGGCAGTATCCCGTTCTTAAAGAGGACATAGAGGGCGATTAGGCGTAGTCTATCGGCTGGTGTTACTTCATCTTCGTCCAGCGTCCGGACGATTTGATCAGTCATGTTCTTGGGCTTCCGGTAATCTTCGTCAAGTCCAGTGGCCAGGCACTAATAAGTCAGCAACAATTGCAGTATCGAAGCTTGGCTGGCTTACCTGCTCCACCGAAGCCAGGTCTGGTAGTTTGTGCTTCTGGAAGATTTCCATGCATTTCTGTGCCATGGTAAGGTGCAGTGAATACGCTTCTTTCATTTCTTGAAATTGAGGTAACCCAGCAATCATGTCCTTGATGGCGTTGAGCCCATTCATACCTGCGGCATTTTGAGCGTCCTGGTTTGTGAAGTGGGGATTGTCGGCAATGAACTTTTGGAAGTCGCTGATGAGTTTGTCGAGGGTGTCCTTCATGTGTCGGTGACGATTCTCAACCCATATCTTGTCCTTATCAGAGATCTCCATGTCTTTTGCCTCTGAACCGGGGTCCTCTTCGTTGACGTTGGTCCTGTAGGTCACTTTGTCGTTGTCTTGTATGGGCAGCAGATCCATGGCCATTGCCTGATATGTAAACTCGTGAACAAAGGGAGCCATAAGGTCCATGGACCGGTCGGTGATGAAGAGCGTACCGCGGGGCCGGTTGGATTGGGGAGGGAAATCTTGGTTGTACTGGGCGTACATGTCGAGCTTGTCTTGCACGAAACGCGCAAGGTGTGAGCATAAGACGCTGGCCTCGTGCGTTGGGCTTCGGGGTCGGTAATATCGTATGAGGGGATATTCGCCGAGCGCAACGCATACTCCTGTGATCTGGGAAGGGTCAGCCAAAGTTGGATACCAGACCAAGTTTGCCTACTCTTTCGGCAATGTCCTCCATGTGCCGAACCACGAGGTTGTTGCATTCTGGGTGGTAGAGGATGGGAAAGCTCCAGGGATCTTTGAAGGTGACCAGGTTAGACTCCTGGGGGTGGAAGTCAAGGTGGACTGTCCGAAAGCTTCGAATCTGTTCGCACGCCATTGGCGAGCGGTCTATGCGCTCCTTGAGGTGTGGAGGGAGTACTAAGCGCATCAGCCTGAAGCCCGTGTCTCGAAACCACAGTGCCCTTACGTGTCGTCCAGATCAAGAAGAAGCCCCTGTACCGCCGCTGGTCGAACTCGGCCATCATGCAGTCGACAATGTGGGGTTTGGGGGTGAGGATGTATACGGCGTCCATGTCTCGTATGTGCTGCCGCCGGTCTTCGATGCGCTCGATGTCTGCAAGGGGTCAGGAGGCATTGCTGGGGAGCGCAGTGCAGAGGGCGTACTGGTGATGTTGAGGTTGAGGATATCATCTTCCTTGACCACGTTGTTGATAAGCTTCTGGCTGTACTCGTCGACGATGAGTATCTTCCACTGGGCACCGTTAGCTGTGCTTGGGCTGCACGGGGGGAGGCTTGTCGCACGTCGCCGCGGGTGGTTTGTCGGATGGCGTTGAGTATGACTAGAAGCGCATATATCAGTTGTCGTCGTCTTGCTAGTGCGCGGTGTCTGGTGGTATCTTCATACGTTCTTTCTGGATGTCTATCATGGAGGCCATACTGGCGGGGTATGGCAGGCTTCCTGCCGCCGCGGTGAGAAGAGGAGGACGAGAGGAGTTCACAAGAGGGTAGGTGACTCTGTGGTGACTATATGCTGGGCGCGCAGGCGTAGTGAGCTGGATGCCAGCAATGCGCAGTGCAGAGTCGGAGGGTGAGGGTGAAGGTTGGGTCTGGGATGTGGGGAGCGCGTCGCAGCTTGGCCGTTGGTGTTGCAGCTGCGGCCGCGGTGCCCTTGCCCGCCGGAGGTCTCTGAATTGGGGCTTGGCCCAACTTTTTCTTAGTACAGTATGCACTACGACTAGACATGACATTGTCGACTGGCAAACTGACATGCTGCCCATAATTGCCCCCGTGCATTCTGCACTCTACCTCCTCCTCTCTTAATTTATCCTTTTCTTTTTCTTCACTCTTTATCAGCCCCCCACACCTCTTTCGGGCATGCTTCCCCCGCCAGTGCGGCGGAATTCGCTGTGTTTCTTCTGCGCATTCGCCGCCCGCTCACGACTCCAACCACCACGCCTCCTCCCGATAATTCAAGTCGCGCGCCGAAGCTCTCCTGCCAAACGACCAAAAAGTTCTAGCCACCATGTTCTTCGAATCCCCAATCCCTTTCGCTCAGATGGCACCAGGCCTGGCTCCCGCATTATCCAGGAAAAGTTGCTCAAAGTCGAGAAGGATTTAGCAACACCAGAGTACCTTGAGAGCCTTCACATCAGCAAAGATGACTTCGACCTCCAGTGGCGCGCCTTTAAAAAATCCATCGACGTCCAGATCAACCGGAGGATACCCGAACTGCAGGCGCTGGTGGGCGAGGCCAGGCGGGGCAAGGATACGCTTCAGACATGGCTGCGATACCGCTTCTACGAGCAGATATTTGGCGGAAACTCCACGGTAGCTGAGTTGGAAAACCAAAAGGAAGTAGCCGACTTGCGATATCCCGCCGAATGGTACCCAGCTACTCGAGAGATTCCACGCACCGTACACATGCACGTTGGCCCCACCAATTCGGGCAAGACCTACCATGCCCTCAAGCGCCTTGAAGAAGTAAAGTCTGGCATCTACCTCGGCCCGTTGCGCCTCCTCGCCCACGAAGTCTACACCCGTCTGGATGCAAAAGGAAAGGCATGTGCTCTGGTTACTGGCGAGGAACAGCGCATGCCGCAGGGCGAGCGCGCCTACATGTATAGTTGCACCGTCGAGATGGCTCCCCTCAACACGCAGTTTGATGTCGCCGTCATAGACGAAATACAGATGATCAGTCATCCGGAGCGAGGCTGGGCTTGGACCCAGGCTTTCCTTGGTCTGCAGGCCAGAGAGATTCATCTTTGTGGAGAAGCCCGCACAGTGCCATTGATGCGTGAGCTTTGCGCTCTTGTTGGCGACAAGATCCATGTCCATGAATACAACCGTCTGACCCCCCTCAAGGTCGAGCCAAAAAGCTTAGGGGGCAAGCTCAACAATCTTCAAAAGGGCGATTGCATTGTCGCTTTCACAGTTCTGGGTATACACGCTTTACGGCGAGAGATTGAACGGAAGACGGGAAAGAAATGTGCCATCGTCTACGGAAGCTTGCCACCAGAGACAAGAGCTCAACAAGCCCGGTTGTTCAATGACCCAGATAACGAGTACGACTATCTGGTAGCTAGCGATGCTATTGGCATGGGTCTCAATCTGTGAGTAGCGCCTGGCGCTAGTTTTATTTGACATAGACTGACTTTTGTAGTGCCATCAAGCGTGTCATCTTTGAATCCACTATGAAGACCGATGGAGTAAATTATCACAGTCTACAAATCTCGGATCTCAAACAGATTGCTGGTCGCGCAGGTCGCTACAAGACGGCTCACCAAGCAGTCAACGCAGATTCGAAACAAGTCTCGGTTGCTGACGGTGTCATCGATCCCGTTATAGGCTTAGACGACAAACAGTCCTATGTAGATGAAGTAAAGGCACCCGAGTCGAAAACAGTTGGATGGGTCACGACGCTTGAGAACGAAGATCACAAATACTTGAAATCAGGTATGGCGAAGGAGCCCGAAGAAATCAAAGCGGCCGGCTTGTTTCCTCCTTCTCAGGTTGTGGAACGATTCGCAAGCTACTTTCCGCCGGGCACGCCTTTTAGTTACATCATGTTACGCCTACACGACATCTCAAACATACACCCCCGCTTTTACCTCTGCACTCTCAAAGACCAGCTAGCAATTGCAGACGCCATCCATACAGTCAAGAACCTTAGCTTTCAAGAACGCATTACTATCTGTGCTGCACCGATCAACATGCGCTCTGCCCCAGAGCGAAACTTCTTGCGCAGACTCGCCGAGTGCATAGCCGAGGGCAAGTCGGGAAATCTGCTAGAGATTGAGTTTCTACCGCTCGATATCATGGATCAGCCGTCTTCTGGTGATCGGGAGTATTTATACAAGCTCGAGCAGTTGCACAAGATGATTGTGTGTTACTTGTGGCTTAGCTACCGCTTCCCCAATGTCTTCACCACTAGGACCCTTGCAAACTACACCAAGAAGCTAGTGGAAGACCAGATTGAGAACACGCTCTCCGAGTTTTCATTTACTGAACAAGTTAGATTGAAGCAGAAGAAATCAAGAGACCAGGCGAGAAAACAGATGGAATTGGAAGCTGACGATGCGGCCATCCAAGTCGAAGGTGATCAAAGTCACGCATCTGATGGGTTGACCAACGAGGCAAAGGAGATTCTAGGTAACCCCGCACTTGCTGGCTCAACGCCTTCGATAATTGGCGACGCGAACGAATATACAGACGATGAACCAGTCAGTGAGGTTGCATCGCTCACGGTAGAGCAAGAGAGAGGTGCTGGCAAGTTTTCGGGCGAGGCTGGCGAATTATTAAAGGGCTAGAACTTGCATTTGATGAAGCGAAACGAAGCCACGCAAGACCAAACTTGGACGGTGATGCTGTACGATGACACTTGTATATTATTTGATGACATATCCCTCGAGCCTTCTTGTGCATATACTGGATGGGAGTACTAAGGCTTTTGGTCATTTTCTGGCGTTATCAAGACGCATCATGGTGTTGATTATATATCACTACAAAATCAAATTTTCTTCTATTGTGCCTGCGCATTGGAATGATTTTTACAAGGTGATTATGCCTTTGAGCTGTCTTCGCATACCTCGTTGTTCGCGTCGGACAGCCTTGCCGCCCACCTGAGCAGCCTCGCTGCCTAATACCCGGACAGCCTTGTTGCTTGACCGGTCGTCAGCCACGAAACTCCCCCCCTCACTCAGGTTACAATATCATAACCTATCAAGCCTTGACACATATTCAGGCGGAATGCGTGTCTTGTCAAGCTACAATCTGAAGTTATGATATAAGATGCAGCTCTCAGGCAGTAAGGCCAGGTTGTCGCAATTTTCAATACCATTTCTGCACTATTGAAAACTGCACCCTGAATTCACCATGGCACCAAGCAAGGCTGGTAGTGGTACCATACTCGAACCTCAGTGGATGATTGAGGGAGGAGTAAATGTGTACTGGGAAAATATTCAATCATGGCGTCCGCCCAATATGTCGCGGGAACGCTATACTATTGGACTGTAAGAGTAAGCAGTTAGAGGGGTAGCCAGGCCCAGAGTTTGGGTGCATGGTGGGATCATGGTATACGTCATAATTAGGTTGCGGCTCGGGGCAGACTACTCGGAATACGAATAGCATACCCGTACTTCGGACCGAAGTCGATGCCAATCTGCACTACGCATACGTACACAATTGTAAGTAGATGCATACACGTGAGATCAAAATGGGGCTTGAAAAAGGCCATACATGGGTAGGAAACGCTCGAGCGGTTTGACGCAAGGGGTTAGCTTAGATCAGCCCTACCGACAAGATTGAGATTAGCAAATCTCCCGGCGCTTCCGCACAGGGACCATGACCGACAACCCTCTTCCAACAACATTCAACGCCACGCCCATGTCCACACCGTGACGCAGTCTTAACACAGCATACATAGCCTTCCCACCTTTGACACAACCGCAGAGGCTCGCTCTGCATCCAACCGCCATGATGATGGTGCCTGCTCATATCCTCGAGATTCCGCGGCCCAAGGTAGGTCGACAAACACAGCCTGCCCGAGAAATCTGGGCAGCACGCTACATCATCGAAGAAAGGCTAACCTATGCCCATAGACATTTCTTCAGAAAATGTCGCTGCGCACCGGAGCTGAAATCATTACCTTCCTCCAGGTCATCAACAAAGCATCGGGCGTCTACGGCCTCCTGGCGCTCCTCACCGGGGCCAAAATCGATGGCTGGCAACTGTCCATGTACCTGTACTCGACCTTTGCGCTGCTCGCCACAACATATCTCTACAAGCACATCCGGTTACAGACTCCCTTTGAGTCTGTCCTGCTTGCGCATCTGTATGCGCTCGACTCGGTCATCAACGCGCTCTACACAGCCTTCTTCGGCATCGCTTGGTTCTACGCGCTTGCCGCGCACCCGGACGAAAATGCCGGACTATCGCCTGGAATGAAGGACAACGCGGGCTTCACAAGCCCCAAGCACAATGTCTCAGAAGTCGACGTTATTGCCGAGCCAAACAAGGGCATGCAAGCCGGCCAACACGCCATCGCAGTCGGACAAGGCAGCGAGGGCGGTGCAGGTCTTGGCAATGCCGTCTTCCAGAGCGGCAGTATCATGAGCATCTCTCTAATCTCTGGTTTCTGGGCTCTGCGTGTCTACTTTGTCTTCATCATGCTGGCTTTTGCGCGCCAGTGCCTCCGTCAACACATGGCCGCCAACGCTTCGTCTGCTGCGTGGTACAACTCCAACGACATGCAAACATCTGCAAATGACCTTGCCGAGAACCCGTTTGCGGAAGACAAGGAAGAGGGCAAAGGCTGGAAAGGGCAGCTTGGTCGGGCTATGCTTAGCGGTGCACCCAAGTACTGGCTCGGTGCCGATGAGGGCGAGGACTGGATGCGTGGGGTTGGTGGCAGATTCAGGAAGCCTACACAACTCGACCAGCCTGTGGGCTTCAACGAGCGAGAGAGGAGACGTAGATCCGGGACTGGCCCGCCTGTGCCGCAGCTAAAGATGTTGAACCCCGAGTTGCCCAAGTAGACTTGTGTGACGAGGCAGACACGGCGGCTTGGTGGGTGCGGCAAAGGAGATGATTGACGAAGGAAGCGAAGCCGTAATGACCTGGCATCAGGGAAGCGCCTTGGGGGATCAAAGCGTATTTGTACTATACCTATTACCTATTAATGTTTTTGGCGTACATGGGACGTGGCAATGCACATGACAGCGACTTGTCGGGTTTTGCTACCTACACGTAGCGGTGCGTGTCGGCAAAGTCGGATCTGATGCTGAGCTCATCCCGCCTTGGACAGAAGCCGTCGTCTCGTTTCCGTATTTTTGTCTCCACGCCACAGCATCCTGGCCTGATTTAGCAGACCGGCAAACGCATGTAGTCAGGGCAATCGCGGCCGAGTCCCGTGGCGTTGCGTGGCCGAGGCAGGCCTTTGTCGACCACTCAGCATCTTGTCAAAGGCCGTCTAAGCCCCGCTTGGCTAGTCGATGCGCATCAGGTGAATGGCCGCCTGTCTCACCCTCACCGCCGGCGTGCATTTTGCTCCCTGACATCCACAGCCCCGGCGAACCGTTGGGCAAGCATGTGCCGGCCTTGGGTGATGCGTAGTGGGTTGCCGCACGCGTGTGCCACTGTCACACATCCGTCCAGAGACGGCCTGGATGACCTGTCATACATGGCCTGTTTGAGGTCTCGAGCCGCACTGATAAGGGGGCTCTCTGGCTGCACTTCAGTAGCTCTTGGATAGGGCTTGCTAACTGCGGGCTTTTTCTCCTGCCAATCTTACGTTTTTTTCTTGGAGATACTTTGGCTCAACGTTGACTCCTGACTAAACTCTGCAGCCGCCTCGAAAACTTTTTCCCAAACTTGTTATATTCCGACATTAATATTCCCGCTGTTTTCTTTCTCCTTCTGGACACTACCGTAAACAATCAAAAGAAAAAAAGAAAGAAGAGCGAATTTGGCAAGAGAAGGATTACAGTTTTCTAGAATGGGCTTCTTTCGGCGATCACTTAGCTTTGGCTCCTCGCGTTCGCGCCCACCAACCGACGACTCGGCATCCGATACCGCTAGCTCGAGGACGAGCATAGATTCTGCTTTTGACAATGAAATATCAGAATCGCTGGCCACAATCACCAAACTACCGCAAAAGGCACCGATTCTCACTCTTCCGGTCGAATTGATCCAGCAAGTCAGCACTTATCTCGACACTGGCTCTGCAGCATCTTTTTGCCTCTCCAGCCGCTTTGTTTATTACGCTCTCGGCACCAACGTACTATCAGCTCACGTCGAAGGAAGCAAAAACCGGTTCGAGAAGCGACGTATCATCGAGGCCGTTGTTGAACGAGCATTCCCCGGCCATTGGTTCTGCGGCTGGTGTGATAAATTTCACTTATGGAACGCAAACGACGGACCAAAGACTCCAGCCCGAGGAAGACGACGAGACTGCGCCGACTTTAACAGCTACCTCTACTCTGGCAGTGACTACGTTCTCCGCTATCACCACGTCCGGCTCGCTATCAACTCCTCCCTCTTCGGACCCGAACATGGTATCCCACTATCATCCTTCACTCACGAGCAGCGAGGCATGGCCAAGATTTCCAGGACCCCCGTACCTACCAAACTTCAAATATCAGCAAAGATATCCGGAGGCCGTTTCCTGCTACATTCCTCCTTTGCCATTATCCTCCCTTCCTTTGCAAAGCGCAACCGCAACTTCCTCAGCACCGTCTGGCCCCTCCTCCCGCACATTCTGTCAGGCCACCACGACAGCGAAAACGGGCACACAGGCCTCATGGCCGCCGTCGACAACGTCGTGCGCCGCGGCTGGAAGTATCAATTCACGCAAAACTGCAGCATGTGCGCTACCGACTGGGCCGTTAGCGCCCAAGAGTTTCCCCACGCGACAGGCGGTCAGATGCGCCTTGTAGTCCAGACCTGGCGCGATCTGGGCACCGCGCGGACGCCCTTTGAAACCAGCTGGCGCGCCCATGGCGTGTGTACTGCCGAGAACTGGAAGAACAACGGTGCGGCGGCTGCGACGTGCTTGCTAAGAACGGCGTCGTTGCAGGCTGGTGCTATTCGGCGGGCGTTTGAGAGCGAGGAGGCGAACGACGAGGCGGGTAGTAGTGGTAGTGGAAGTAGAGTTATGCAGAAGAGCGGTTCATCGGGGGCACGCATCTATCGCTCTTTTATGAGGAAGAATACGGTCGAGGAAGAGGAGCATGACGATGCGCGTGCTGTTCGGAGGTCGAGTGCCAGACCCAGGTACTGGAGGACTGCCGAAGAGAATGCAGAGGCCGCGCGTAGATATGACGAGGAGAGGAGGGATGCAGTGACGAGTGCGGCTGAGGATATGGCTAGAATGACTGCTCAACGTGCGAGGACGTTGGTCTAAATGGCGGGGTATTCTTTCTTTTTTTTTTATATCTGCGAACTCGCACCCGTTGATCTGCATGGGCGTTTTATTTTTATTTTTATTTTCTTCTTTTCTTTTAGATATTTCTCTCCCTCTTCTCCCTCGTCAAAGCGTTCTTAGCGAGTACACATACTAACATAGTTGGCCCGGCGTTTATAAGAGTAGATCGGCGCGAAAACATCAACGCCCAACATAGATAAGAGATGTTTCACACGAAATCACATTTTCTAGTTCACTAAACAAAAATGTCCCCCCTTTTTTTTGAATGCAAATTTCCATTTGTTCTACTTTGTAATGCACACATTTCTAGTAGTCCCACCCACTTTCCACCACTCAACAAAAAGTTATGTACAATTTCCGAGATTGTCGAAGCGAAAGTATCGAACA